TCATGCGTTGCTGAGCTTAGCAAGATTTCTCAGTTTCTACGTTGAATTTTCTATATTTTTAACGCTAGCATAAAAGAACTCGATAATTTAAAATCCTATCGTCACAATAATAATAGTAATAATGATAAACACTTACAGAGCGCTGTGTCCACTAATTGCTCAAAGCGCTGTACAAAGCCATTCCACGCGAGTCCCTTCAGAGTAAATATGAATTCATTTTTATTGATATTTTATTTTCCACTAATCGTAAAATCACTTTTGATATCTTTTACCGAACTCCCACCAACGAAACCAATCCCTCGAGAATTTGCTGACTGCCCTTCAAAAAATCGCCCTGAGGAATGACCTGATTGTAGTCAGAGATTTCAACCTCAGTGCGTGACTGACTAAACACCCGTGCGCTAAATAATTCAGCAAATGACAATCTGCTGTTGGACATTGTTCACATAACTGTTTGACTCAGTTAGAAAATAGACCTATGCGAGGGGACAACATTTTGGATTTAGTTTTGGCATCCGCCCCTCACATTGTTGACAATCTGACTGATGGGGAACCTTTCTCTGATTAAAATGCTATCACCTTCTCAATTTCTTTTTGGCCATATGAGCGCCGCAAGACGAAAAAAGTTACCATTCTTATTCCAAAGCAGACTGGACTTCCTTACATCCTCATGCACTGTGCCTTATAAGATGATATCAGTATTATCTGGTCTGCATGGTCTGTCTTGTTATTCACTGCAATTGACGCGGCGTGTATCCCGAGGTGGCAAAAAAAAAAGAAAAGAAATCACGGAAGAAAGCTCCTTGGATTACTAGTTAATTGATTAACCTATATATAAAGAAGTTATCAACTAAGTCATCAACTATCCTTTGTAATGCAAACGAGGTTTCTCGCCTTGAAATAAATGTTAACCCACACAAGTCCCCGGGGCCCGACCACCCCCGCCGCGTGTATTTGAGAAATGTGCGATTGAAATCGCTCCGACCTTTTGTTCATTTCTGAACAGATCATTTTTTGCTGGCGAAGTACCGTATGCTTGGAAGATAGCTACCTTTGTCCCCGTCCATGAGAGGGGTAGAAAGGATTGCAGAGAAAAATATCTTCAAATCTCGTTCACCTCCATTGCATGCAAAGTTACCGAGAAGATTGTTAAAGATCGTGTACTTAACTTCTGGCAATAGCTAAACGTCTTTAACCCAAACCAATTTGGCTTCCTTGAAGGAAAATGAACTCTCGATGTTATATTTTTAGACTTGTAAGAAGCGTTTGACTCTGTGCCTCACGAACGGTTGTTGCTCAAACTAAACTGTCACGGATCGACGTCTCACTACTACGTTGGTTTAAGAGCTTTTTGACAGACGAGTCGTTGTTCGTTGCACCAACTCATCCTGGTCTCAGGTACGATTTTGGGCCCAATTTTATTTCTAATTTATGTCAACGACATATCATCTAACATCTCTTCGACATTAAGGATGTTCGCTGACGACACCAAAGTATACAGAGAACTGTCAAACATAACAAGGGACAGCGAAGCCCGAAAACTTGGTGTCGACCAGCCACTATCCTAGGCATCTATATGGCATCTACGCTTCATTCAAGATAAGTGCGAAGTTTTACGAGTTACACATAGACGTGACCTCTCTCTCCCCACGTACTCATTGGTTACGAGCCTTAAAAGCGTTAAGTGCGTCAAGGATTTGGGCATTACGATTTCTTCGGATTTATCATGCAGCGAACACGTTTACGTGACCGTTAAAATAAGGCTAACAGACTATTGGGCGTGGTTTCCAGAACAGTGGGCTCGTCGAATCCCGCTCTTGAATATGCTGCTTCCGTCTGGAATCCTTATTTGGTTTAAGATGTGCTAGCGTTCGAAAGAGTTCAGTGAAGAGTCTCGGCTTGCTTTCGGGCAAAAAGGTGGTGAGATGGAATACGAAGAACGTTTGAGGAAGCTGAAACTGAACAGCCAACACTCGAAAAACACAGGTTGTTTCTTCTTTAGTTGAAGAAGATAGTTTTTGACATGAACAAACAAAACTTTGACGAACTCTCTGAATTTACCAAGTGCAATTCAACCCATGCCAACCATCCTATAAGTTCTATGTTAAGCCAGCTAAGTGTAATCTATACAAATATTCTTTTCCCATCTGAATCGTACGGGACTGGAATAGTCTTCCAGGAGCTATTGTTGAGGCTGGGAACCTGAACCGTTTTGAGGGTGCGCTAAAGTGCTTTCTAAATATCCATTAGCTACTCGTCTTTTTTTATCCATTGTTACCATGGATTGTCAGTTACTCAATTCATCTCTTGTAAATAGTCCTTGAATATTTTATATTGTACATAGCTTATGCTGTTTTCATCTGTTATCTAGGGAAACATCGTAGGGTCAACCCCCAGTTTTCCTTTTCAAGAAGTTTTATTACTTTTGTTTGTTTATCTTGAATAAACACGTTATGTAGATTAAGGCTAATATAACTTAGGGTAGATGCTGGTTACGGTGGTAGAACAGGGCTAACCTAAGGTTAGGTGGGCCAGGGTTAACGTGGTAGAAAATGGTTAACCTCGGGTAGATAGAGATCAGAAGGATAAAACGAGGCTAAATTGGAGATGATGAGGGAAGGCCTTAAGTTCAATTTGTATTTGGAAACATTCCACTTTTTTCTCCGTTATGCCTGCGTCTTTCACTAAATGAGATTTTCCCTCTCTTAAAATACATAGCAATTGTTATTGTTCAAGTTACCACCGGCAATTACATTATCATGCAACTGCCGTTTAGCATGCATCAGCTAGATATGGAAAGTTGTACAAAATATAAAATTCAGTTTCGCTCAGTTTGTATCATTAGTATGCAATGTAAAGACAATTATTCAAATAGCACAAGTATAGCAGAGCAATAACATATTTCCAACACAGCTGCAGATATAATTCGTTCCTTAGTCACTATTGCTACTGCTGCTACTACTGCTGCTTCCAGAAACCTTCGATCCTGGAAATAAAAAAAAAAAGGTATTATGATGTAAGGGCTCCATTGTTGGAAATTAATAGGGAGTAGCGATAGCCTTCCCAAGTAGACGTCTTTTCCATTCATTTTGTTACGGTTGCTTTTTACAAGGTCACCTTGGAGAGTGATCTCTTCTTTGGAAGGTTATAGAACGCTGAAGTGAGAGCTATTTCAGCTCTTACTGGGTAAAATAGCCAAATGTACTCGTGAAAGACAAACCAGAAACTTGTTGCACACACAAAAAAATGAGGACAAAACCATACGGGTAATGCAAGTGATTACACCACTCTGTGAAAAGTTTGCCGTTGGTATTGAAGACAATAAGAGAATAGGCTATCCAGGCAGTTGTGACACTCTTTGTGGAGAGGTTAGAGTGAATCTACAGCCATTGTAAGAAGTTGGCAGTCAGTGGACGTTTTGTTCTTTAATTCTCTCAAAGCACTCTGAAAATGCAACCAAGTCACTTATTCCTCCTAAAGATTAGATAAATTAAACAAGCATGTTACCTGCTGTAATAAAAACTTTTTCAAGTGCTCCTCTAGTCTTCTGCACTCTGTAATGCAGGCCATAATTAAGGGCAAAGAAATGACCATCCTTCTTGGGATGACTGCACACCCAGCAATGACCTTCCCAACAAGTGGTGCGCCAGCATCGACCCTTGGCAAGATGTTTTTTGGTCTCCCGGTGGCCTTGAGGACTGATCCATTCTAATTGGACTGGACACTTGGCACGGTTCACAAATTTCACCTCAATAGGGACGGTAACGTGGGCCTCCGACTTCAAACTGTTAAATGAACTTCCTAAGAAAGAATCAAAGTGGTTGTGAGCCACTGAACTTGGATAATGATCAATGGAAAGGTTAGGAATGGACTTTTTGTATTAATTCATGGCTCAGGGAAATTTTTACAATGTTTTTTTAATTGTCCTTTTTATGAGCACTCGCACACTTTTTAGAAGGTTTATTTAGGTTGTAAAAGAAGTGACTTGGAATAACATTTGACGATAAAAACGTTTTGTCGCAAGTTTTTATCGTCAAATGTTATTTAGGTTGTAATTTGAAATCTTAATCAATGTTAAAAAAATTGATGTTCATGTCGCAAAGATTATTGTTTGCATATTGTCACCATTTAAGTTGTTTAATTATAAAATTCTCCACAGAAGTTGAATATTTGCAGATGTGGCGCAGCGGACTGTGAAGGGAGTTCAAATAAGTTCAAATCCTACAGTACATATATATTTTTTTCTAATATGTTAACGTATAGAAAAATATAGGCAAAGACATCATTTGCCTTCTGATGCTTTTGTTTAAAAAGTTATCTGGAACAAATTAATCACTCGAGAATTCCTTCAGCACATTGATCAATTTTGTACTCAAAATATGCTACTCTTTTTGAGCCCTAAGTTATCACTAATGTCAGATAGGATTGTAAAAAAAAAAAACCGATGAAGACTTTCCCTCACAATCGAATTGAGAAGGAACAACTTCAAAGTCTTTTCCTTATAGTCGTAGTTTAAACGCATCTTGTACGTGTCCTGGTGTTATGTTTAGGTCAATCACTGACAAGGCGTGCTACTTCCATTGAACTGCATTGAGTGGTTTAACAGTGAGAACTTCAAGAAAAAAAATTACACACCACTGACCGTGTAGAAACCATCCACGAATAAGAAACATTACCTCTGAAATAAATCACTTTGTGGATAAACCTTTTTTGACTTGGGCGTATGTCACTGCTAACACTTTATGTACTGCATGGTCAGCGGATTTATAAAAAGTTAGCAGGAATCGAACTTTATACAATCATAAAGATGGATTATTGACTACGTCATTATCCAAGTTCAAAATAATTGTGGCACTTCCTGGTGAAAATGAACAGTAAAAACAATATAAAATGATTTCCTTTTAGAACCAGCTGTGAAATTCTTTATGAGACGCATGCATGTTCCCTAGGAAAGTTGCTTGACATATCCTTGAAGTAAATGTATCTATATAATCACCGGAGCAGTTACGTTAATGATGGATATGCATTAAAAATAAAGTACAGTAGGATATAGAGAAATTCCATAAACTACAATCACCACAAGTATAACCTATGATTAATACAAACCCTAGATAAATCTTTCTATTATCTCTAGATTATTATCCATCGCTGTATTCAAAAGGGCCAGGGTTGTTTCGATGATCATCATAATAAATGTGAAAATTACTAGAAATACCTTACACTTGTGTCACACACTGGAGTGCTATACCTGATGGTTTCTTTATTTCAACTTCTACAAGTTTGTCACCATGCTTGTGTGGGAAAGCATTAAACACTGGAGAGCCATTAATTGGCAGTGGTTCGCGACTAAGTTTCCTACTGAAGGCCATGAAAACATGTGTCTCATAGGTGTCTACTGTCTTGCTTTGGCCTTCCTTTATCTTTCCTTTCCTCTTCCTTCTTCCTCTCTCGTTGATCCAGTACAGTTTCACTTTCCTGCCTGCCTTGTTAGTAAACTTCACAGAGAGTGGATGCTTATCTTCTTTGGAGTACAGAGCTGCAAAAGTTGAAACATTGAAAACCTTATGCTGAACATACTATATGCTTCATTTATAAAGCTATCTGCTGGCTTCCTACACCAGTTATGCACTTCCAAATATTTACATCAATTCAAGCTATATCTTGTTTACCTAGAGTTTAATTATGCTTGGTCATTGCCAAATCTGTCTTGTATGAATTACCGAATTAAAATTAGCAAATTGTTGGCAAGAGAGTGCCCGTTTGTTTAGTGACAAAACCCAATCATCATGGTTGGTTGACTTCCATGGAAAAAGACTTCTCCCAAATAAGGTGCTTGAAAGTGAAACTTCCAAATTTTTAATCTTCAATCTTAAAGACATACCAAATCCTGAAGGGTCACTGTCATCACTTTCCACATCCTGTATAAAGGGGAAGAATTGTTGAATTCAATCAATAATACTGATACTTTGTGCACACAAGATCTTGAAACAAAACCTAACCTATGGAGTTAGGTCCATGCAGATTTTAGATTGCTATAGTTTTATCGCTTCCAACATAGTGTATATATTTTAAGTATGTATATAGATTTTTTTATTTCTATTGGGGGGTCAGCTTTAAATGAAGATTAAGTTCTTCCCTGCTGGCACCCTATTTGCTCTTTTGATCTTCCAACTGTATGCAAATAAAGTTGTTATAAATAAATTATAAAAATTAAATTATAAATTAAATAAATTATAAATAAATTATAAAAATCAAATTATAAATAAAATAAAATAAATTATAAATAACTTATAAATTCTTCAAAACATGGTGAGCAAAAACTACAACACAAAATTTTTGATTTGGAGTTTTAAAACAAGTTTTACACCAGTTTAAGCGAGTTTTAAAGAGTTTGAGTTTTAAAACCAAAGGTGTTCTTAAAAAGTTGATGGGTTCTGAAGATCAGAAATGATTAAGTAAATCTTTATTTCAATAAGGTGTACAATTACAGTCAAGACTGTATTCCCCCTTGTGTCCCTGTGAAACTGAATAGAATAATTCTACGTATGATGCGCGATCCTCGCAGTAGAGAGCGCTATTTATGCAATAGCGAAAATCAGACCTGAAAAAAATCAGGCCTGTACGGGATTCGAACCACTGACCTCTGCGATACTAGTGCAGCACTCTACCAATTGAGCTAACAAGCCAACTGGGAGCAGGCCGTTAAGTTGATTCGTAATAAACCCATGATGATAAATCAGATATGATGAATATATGAAGTTCATATATTTTTTTTTCATATATTCATCATATCAGAATAATTCTAGTTACAGACATTTAAAATACTAAAATAACAAAATACTAAAGATATTTTAAAACCTAAGATCACATAGAACTTAAAATCCCAATAATAAAAACTAGAAAATTCTGTCAGTTTTAAAACCATCTGGTGTGAATTTATAAATAATGCAGTCAAAGTAGTTTCTTCTAAACTTCCTTAGATGGGTGGAATAAACAAAGTCTTTATCACTAACATCCTTCCACAATTGAAGGGCAGTAAAAAATAAACACTCACTTCCATTTGTTGGTTCATGGAATGGGGAGGCAATAAGGCATCCAAGATCTTGTACCATGAGAATTGCAGTATTTCAATGATAATAGTTTCTCAGTAAAGTAGTCAGGAGCACATCCATCCAGGATTTTTTTAACAATAGGTAGCCAATAGGTTAATAGGTAGCCACTCATGACAAGTTTATAAAATAATGGTAAGGTTCTAGCTTGGAAGGGAGCATCAAGGATAAGACCTGCACATTGCTTTCAAACTTTAAAATTGTTATCCAATCATCCTGCTTTACAGCTTGCCCAAATTGATACACAGTACTCAAGAATAGGTTTGATACTAGCATTGAATAGAATTATACAATATTAAATTGGCCAATGCGCTTCAGAAGTTTCTTCCTTAGATTTGTTACATGGTTTCACTAAGAAAGGGATGGGTCAGTATCCAGACCTGAAAGGCATTCCTCTTGAGTTTGCTTAAGTTTCCTATTGTCTACAAATAGTGTTAATGCACATTCTTCAGAGTGTGACAGTTTCTGTCTGGTACCAATAATCATGTATTTCGTTTTTTGCGGGTGGGCTACCACACCATGTTCTTAAGTCCATATTGCTGTACTATTAAGATCTTGCTGGAGTTGTAGCTGAACGTCAGTTTAAGTTGTGGGGCTAACATAAAAAGTGGCATCATCAGCAAATATGCCATTTCTACTTTCCCAGGAGAGCAGTAGGTCATTGATAAACAAGAGGAAAAATACAGGACCCAAAATTGAATCCTGCATGGGGAATAAGATTCACACACTGATGATGGTCTGTAAGGTAGCTCTTAAACCATAGTAGAGCAGCCATAAATTTCAAGTTAGGCAACAAACAGGTCATGATTCACCACATCAAAGGCTTTGCATAGATCCAGGAAGATCAAACTAGTATATTGGACTTAGTCCATCACTTGTAGTCAATCATCAGTCAATTTAATCAAGATAGCTTCAGTTGAGTGATGGCGTACAAATCCAGATTGTGTCAAGACCATGAAATAAAAGGAACAGAGGTATAGCATGAAGTAAGTACATATGTGTCTTCCGAGTAGCTTTAAAATAAATGGAAGAACCCAAATCGAACGAAAATTATTCAGATCAGAGGCTAGTCCAGATTTGTGATGGCTGCTCAAATTCTATTAGCCTGGTGGTTATTTTGGGCAGCCATGCACTTTATTTTATTTGTTTTATTACTTTTTTGTACTGAAAATTTAATTTAATTCAGGGTGCAAATAAAGTTGTTGTTGTTGTTGTTGTTGTGAACTGATGTAACTTGTGCTAGTTAAGGGTAGAAGGGCAGATACCAGATTGGATATTACAATTTAGAACTTTGGTAAGACTGTTCAGAATAGCTGGAGAGATGAGTTTCAGTAATGGTACACTTACTCCATATAGGCCCATGGCAACATTTGCAGGGAGCTATTTTAATAGCTTGTGAGGAATTACACAGTTTTTGGTCAACAGATTTGTAGCATTCTCAAAGTTGTCAATTTGGGTTAGATTAGGATTAACAAGCTGATTTTTGTCAACAATAGATGAGGCAATGGAGACAAAATGCTTGTTAAATTTGTTTGCTTGGACACAACTAGGCTTCAAATCATCTGGTATTGATTTCACCTTGTTAGCAGGATTTAGCTTTTCAGTGCTTTCCATGACAAGCATGAATTTTGCTTGTTTTCCTCAAGCTCTTCCTTGACCACCATAAACTTGGCTTTGTTTACCGTGTGTACAACCTTTGTTGTAGGCATGTTGAAGGTATCCCTCTGGATTCTTTTGTGTTCCCGTTGCTCTTTGAAGCTGTCGTGATACTTGATTGGTTCTAAGATGTCACTTGTTAGTCAAGACGGTTAAACAGAAGTTTTGACATGTTTCTGTTTCACTGGTGTGTGTGTGTGTGTCAATATCACCAAGCACAAGTTTAATCCAGGTGTCCAGCATTTCATCTGAGTCATCACTGTAGAGATCAAGTATACTCCTGGGTATGTTATTCAAATTAGTTATAAGAACATTGGTGTCAAATTTTTTCGATGAGCAGAAAAGGATCCACCCTTGTTTGCCATTCTTTTTTTCAATTAACATTTTATTCACACACTAAGATTGTTGGATTATGGTAGCTGAGGCCAAAGCTTGGAACATTAAGTAAGCACAATGTGCTCTGGATGAGTACAGTAATGATGATCGAGAAGTCAGTTTCTAATTACTCACGTGTTAGTTTATCAATCACCTAATGTACAACAAAGTTTAATTTCTATTAAATGCTTTAAATGTCTTAGGGTTATCTCGCCATTGCAGATCAATATTCGAATCTCCAACAAACTGTGTGCTACAAAACATTTTGGGGACCGGAGGTCCATTCACGCATGGGGTTCAGTCCCCTTGCGTCAACATAATTATATATTTCAGTGTTTGTGCAAAAGGTTTTGTTAATGTCAGCCAGTTTGGCATTGTATATTTTTAAGCTTTGTCTTGCATTCCTTTAAAAATCCAAACCATCAGGTACGTTTAATATTTCAGTGTTTGTGCAAAAAGTTTTGTTAATGTCAGCCAGTTTGGCATTGTATGTTTTTAAGCTTTGTCTTGCATTCCTTTAAAGATCCAAACCATCAGGTATGTTTTGTTTTCATTTTGCTGCATTTATTTTGTCTGTTGACATTTATTTTCAGTGGTCAGATTTAGTGTAATTTAATTCTGTTATAGAAATCACTAGTCAAGAAATAAATGTACATGTATGGTTCAGGTAGCCATTGAGTAATGTTACCAGTGCATCTGTTACAGTGTGTTTCCTTACCTTCAGCAGAGATATGCTCAACTAACTGTGTGAGATATTCAAAGAAGGCAGAATTGGTTTTCAAGGGACAATACAAACAACAAAGGAGGAAGGGGGTGCATCGATGTTGTTCAAGTTTGAGGCACAGCTGTTCTATTCCATGCGATTCTAGGTCTCGCCTTCATTTTCATTTAGATCTTCAAAAACATAGATGGCAATTCCACCACCAACACGCAGTCTAGCTTGAATATTTGATGATTGGTCTTAAAGTGAAAGAGGTTGTAACCAGGATAGTAAGTTCAAGATCACACCATGTTTCATCAAGCAACATATCAGTAAGAGCTGATATCAATGGAACGCTTCAATTAAAGTAGAATCTTGATAAGTTCCAACTTATTTCAGATTGAATGAATACTTAGACACATGATCTTAAGGCCTTTAAATGGTAGATTGAAAACTGACAGGATCAAAGTCGCCATGTTGATTGTCAAGTATTGATGGAGTGTTCACTGGGTTTCCTGAGGAGCTCGGGCCAGGATTTAAAGCTACATCCATAAAGACAGTTAAATCTTTAGAAGGATTGTGTCCTAGAACATGGAAGCTAGTGTAACACCAGAGGACCATAAACAGAGAGGAACATTTGATAAGTAGTAGCCACATGTTACCAGAATCCATTGCCTTGGCAGCATTTAGAGGTTACAAGCACAGATATTTGCTGTGCAAAGCTATCTCTGTCAGCATGAAATTGATCACAAGCATAGCAACTTGTACTTGGAACATTTGGTTTTGTTCTATGTGTCCATGAAAAGCTAAAAATTAAGGTCTGCCATGACGAACGGAGCAAAATGAAGGGTTAACATTTGTAACCAAAGCAACTCAAAGTTTACCTTAAGGGCTTCACATACCTTTTTCACATAAGAATATTTTGGCAAGAGATAATCTACTACCTGCACTGGTTCTGATTTACGTCTATGTCTACTGAATTCTACAATAAACCCACTTTCTCCAATGCAAACAAGTTTTTAAGACATTGTCCCGTTCTCCAGTTGTCCTTCTCTACGATTCTAATCCTGAACCTCCCACTAAGCAATCAGGCAAAATGAAAGAGTGCCATGAACACTAAAGATGCCAATAAGATAATAGGGCATGGATTCACTGTTCTCCCTCATTCATTACAAAACTGATTTTTTCTTGACACAAAAAATGTGCCCTCTTCCCAGCAAAAATTCAGGTTGAAATGGTCTAAATTTTGGTTTTAAATTCTCTCTTTCTAAAGATTTTTTATGTTAATGTATGTTCACGATTTTGAAAGAAAGGGAAATAAAACTTGAAACAATGATAAAATTGAACCACTGTACCTTGATTGCACACATGTTGTAACGATACCTCTAGCAATGACACAGGAACACCTACCACATGTTTGTGACTAGGGTGTGGTCCTGGAGGGAATGCACCAGGGTGTAGTCCAGGTGGGAGTGGTCTACCATGTGCTGGAATTGTTCCTGGGTGTGGTCCTACTTGTAGAGGGTAAGGTCCAGGAAGTGGTGCTGCGTATGGTCCACTTGGACAAAAATAATCTCCAGGTAACGGACCTCCCAGGGTAGGGGGGTAAGCTCCTGCATCTGGTCCAGGATAAAGCCCAGCAGGGGGAGTGTATGGTGGCTGGAGAGCAGTTTTGAAACAAACAGGACACTTAATTTCAAGGATGAGTTGGAGAGTTGTTTCCACTCTACTTTAACCACATAAACTGATTGATTTTGACTGGCAGTTAACTTTGTTTTTACCTTATTAAGTGAATTCAGAGGTGTTTGAGTATACAGGGGGAAATGAAATGAGATTTATCAACACTTAATAACTTCAAACTCAACTTCCCCACTCCCAATTTTTTCACAGACACAATGTTATACACCAGATAAATCACTATCTGGTTTGTTCAGTTAATGACTTAACAAAACTGAATGCAATTTCAACCTGTAGAAAATGTTGACTACCTTCCAACAACTTAGTTTAGCTTGGAACAGAAACTTGTCCATTTTCATTAATGTAGGAGTATAATTATAACCAAAACTCTTGAAATGTGCAAAATTTGTCATCCATGTCATTCATGAGCTCACTTGATTACTGTTGCTTGTAAATTTCTTTTAAAGATAATTAGCACTCCTTTTAACGTATAACAGATCTCAGGGCTTGACACAGACTAGTAGAAATTCAGTTTGGGCTACTGAGTGGTTTTCGATTTCCATGAGCCAGTTTGGCTAGTAAACAAACTGAAATTGTTGTGACATCTAAGTTGTCACTAGCCACTTGACTAGTAAGTTGAAAAGTTAGTGTCAAGCCCTGCATCTACATTTTCAGTTAAGGAAGGTTCATTGTACAAGGTTTGACATGTTGGTCTTGCTCTGAAAGGAAGGCAGGGCACCTTTCATGATAAGAAAGTCATATTAACAATCAGCCACAGTGTTTGACTACCTTATAACAGTTAAATATTACTACTTCTGTCAGTAACAATTGATATTTCTTTACTCATTCAAAGTAAACAATTATTACATGATGTACATAAGTACAATGCTTGACATTACTGGGTATGCAGCCTGTGCAGGTGTAGGTGGCATGTGGTATCCTCCAGTTGGGTCATGGGTTGGCAGTGAAAATTCCTGCATTCAGTAAAAAGATGACCAACATAATAACAGCAAAACTATAATGAATACCTCTCAGCAACTAACTTAGTGGTCTGTAATGCAAGTAACACTCCAAGTTTTCCCCTTACCAATTATGACCCAATAAACAAGAAGGCATGCAAGCTATGAATCAAAATGAGGAAAAAAAATGATACTCTGTAAGTTTAGGATACACCAAGACGACAAACTTTGTGAGATGTTCATTAGATAGATAGATGGATAGATAGATAGATGGATAGATAGATAGATAGATAGATAGATAGATAGATACTTTATTGGTAAATACTTCGCAGCATGAACTGAATTGCATATTCACAGATATAAAATAGAAATTACTATGTACATGTATACATCTTATTATTAAAAAATACATAATTCATCGTATGGGAGATTTTGTACATTATTTGTGGCTGTTGACTATTCTGGCTGAAGCAGTAAAATAAAAGTTTTTGAGTCTATTTGTCTTGCAAAGTGGCAAAGCAAAGGTACGCTCATGCCTTAACCTATGAGAGCTTACATAGTGGTGTGGTAAAAGTTTACTTAATTTGTGCTGAGGATCGTTCCTTATTTCATAGATACTGAGATTTACACACAACAAAAAGCCCGTGTAAAACTAGTATGTTAAATCCATTAGCCATTAGGAAACGCAAACAATGAATTTTCACTAGTGGCCCACGAGTTTCACTACGACTCTTGAATCCAAGATGGCTAGTTCAAGATAATTTGGATATATCAACAAAGTTAAAGTGGTAAATTGGCCACCGTAA